TGCCAGGCTGAAAGTCTGTTTCATCAAACCCTCCGGGAGATTCTGATGTGCCTGTTTTAGGACCACTGCCGTAACATAAGGCTATAGAATGGATTCAAGTTAATTGCCTCAGTCGCAGAACAAATAGGTGAAAAAGCTTTCCCTTCCCTGCCCCTGGCACCTCTCCCCCAGCAATTGCTTCTAGTCCACAGAAATGTTTGCACATTTGGGAATACATGTCTTCTCCCGCCTCCTAATATAATTTGGACAAACCTAGGTCTGAAACCAGACACAAAAGTAGGTCAGATGAGCAAGGAAAGCCATGCCTTGTACTTCTTGCTTTTGCTGAATCAAAGGCTTGTCAATTACAATAATACAGGACTTGCCCATTGCCAAGGGCAGGTCAAAGGTGCCTGTTAGGTGTAGGCATCCCTGGGGGAGGAGAAAGAGCATTGCTTTTTGAGGGAGCCACATGGGGTTTTAAAAGATGACTGTCTCTATTTGGCTGGATAACCTCAAAGAGGTTATTTAATTTCTTTGGGGCTCAGTCTCCTCATTTATAAAAATGGGACACATGCTTGCCAGGATGATTGGGCGTAAATGAAAACCTCTAGCACACAGACACCCAATTGAGGATCTCACGTACCCCACTCGGCCCTTCTGTTGACAATGCCTTCTTCACAAGCAGCGATGTTCATAACAACCAGGAAATTAGGCAGGGCAGGTGATTACGTATTTTTCAGGGAATAGCGCCAACTTCAGTCAAAAATAACCATGTTTTATGTTCAGAATTACTTTGATCTAAAGAGAATGAAACCCCAGAATATCATTTCATCCTGGTCCATTTATTTTTCACATTGAAGATTCCGAGTCTACTTTTTTTTTTTTTTAAGATTTTTTTTATTTATTTGACAGCGAGAGAGAGATCACAGGTAGGCAGAGAGGCAGGCAGAGAGAGGGGGAAGCAGGCTCCCTGCGGAGCAGAGAGCCCGATGCGGGGCTCGATCCCGGGACCCTGAGATCATGACCTGAGCCGAAGGCAGAGGCTCAACCCACTGAGCCACCCAGGCGCCCCCCGAGTCTACTTTTTATTTAGAGAGTTGTTAATGGGTTAGCTGATACCCTTCCAGTTGTGTTTAAGGGGCTAGTTCTAGAAGAGGCAGGTTAGTTGATCTGTCTTAAGATAATTCGTTTTTTATTTACTCTAAGATTTCTAAGCCTGAATCTTGCTTACCTGCCAATGATGTATAACAATGGTTTGTTCCAGACTAAAATGGAAAACTAAAGCCAAGCAAAATGCAATCTAAGTATTTTGAGGATTCTGAAAATTGTCCTAAAAATGCAGTCAACTTCAAGAACAAGTTTCATTCCATTCCAATAAACTACTCTCCATACAAGTAAGTTTGTTTCAACATTCCTTACTAGTGAATGAGTGAAGAGGGCTTCCCCTCCCCCCACCGTAATTCCCAACCAAGCCTTAGGAAGTACTCCCCCGCCCCACACACCATCCTCCCCAACCATCCTCCTAAGTGCCTAGATATTTCTAAACATAGCAATTCAGTGACCAAGGCGTGACATTTTGAACTGAAAGGCTCACTCGGCATGCCTCAGCTCTTTCCCTTTCTTGGGAGGGAAATTACAAATAAGAATAGTGGCTGGTTTCTCTGACTTTTTTTTTTTTATTAGATTTTTATTTATTTATTTGACAGAGATCACAGGCAGAGAGGCAGACGGGTTGTGGGGGGGAGGCAGGCTCCCTGCTGAGCAGAGAGCCCTATGCAGGGCTCCATCCCAGGACCCTGGGATCATGACCTGAGCTGAAGGCAGAGGTGGCTCAGGCTTTAAACCACTGAGCCACCCAGACGCTCCACAGGTTTCTATGACTTTTTATTTTAAGCGTTTTATTTTTAAGTAATCTCCACACCCAACATGGGGATCGAACTTACAACCCCGAGATCAAGAGCCATATGCTCCACTCACTGAGCCAGCCAGCCGCCCCCGTAATGACTTTAGAAAGGAGAATGTTTGAGGTCCACTCTACTCTCCATTCTTCTGTCATTATCCAAAGCAATTTTATATATGTATGTATATATTTTCCAGTTTTATAATGGCAATTCTTTCTTCTCATTACAGCCATATTTCCCAGGGTAAATCCTACACTATTTTACAGAATTTTTTTAGCTGTATCTGTTTAATGAATGGGTCACTTTTGTTTTCCCTATGAAATGAATGGTAGTACCAGTGGTGTCAATAAGGGCTAAAATGGGGCGCCTGGGTGGCTCAGTGGGTTAAAGCCTCTGCCTTCAGCTCAGGTCATGATCCCAGGGTCCTGGGATTGAGCCCCACATCAGGCTCTCTGCTCAGTGGGGAACCTGCTTCCTCCTCTTTCTCTCTGCCTGCCTCTCTGCCTACTTGTGATCTGTCAAATAAATAAATAAAATATTAAAAAAAAAATAAGGGCTAAAATGTGGAGAGTGACAGCCTAAATTAATGCTGGAGCTTAGGTGTTCAGACTGACATTATCAACTGAAATGTCCAAAGCGTGTTTATATTGGTACCATCAAAAATTAAGAATGAAATGTTAACTTTATAACCTCTTGTGATGAAATAGCCAGTGAGCATTCTAGGGTAGGGAGGGACTGGCAGGTCTGTCACAAGAGGAGGAGGTAGCCACAAGCCAGCATTAAGAGCTCCTGTACCACTGCCCATAATGAGCAGCTGACCACAGTTCCTGACTTTCCCCCTCCACCAAATTGTGGGAAGTGAGCTGGGGCCGGCTGGCATCTTCGCCTCACCCTCTCTCCTCACCCACCAGATCCCTCGGGATTCTCATGACTTTCTGCTCTTTAAGAGCCTCTGGTGTGACCCATGTGCCTTCGAGGCTGCCTGGCGTGCTGCAGAGAGCAGCGGGGACCTGCCTGGATCTCCCCTTCCACAGATACTCAGAGAATTTAATTTGGCACAAGACTCTCATTTAAATTGGGAGATGTTGAATATGATTTTAAAAAAAGATGAAATCAACGGAAACCTCTCAGTAAGAATCTAGGTTTATATAGCGTGACTTTGTGTCATGTTTTTAGGTAAACACCTCTTGGAGTCTTTTCTTCTCCCCTTAAAACAAAGTTGGGTAGGATGACCTCTAGACCCTTTCCTGGCCAAGCTTGGACTGTCCATGGCACCTTCATACAGTTTACTCATTTGTTTCCCACAATCTGACAATCCAGCAGCTATCACTGTCTTCGTTTTTTTTTTTTTTTTAAAGATTTTATTTATTTATTTGACAGAGATCACTGTGATCATTGATCACAAGTAGGCAGAGAGGCAGGCAGAGAGAGAGGAAGGGAAGCAGGCTTCCTGCTGAGCAGAGAGCCCGATGCGGGGCTTGATCCCAGGACCCTGGGATCGTGACCTGAGCCCAAGGCAGAGGCTTTAACCCATTGAGCCACCCAGGCGCCCCGCCCCCACTGCCTTCGTTTTATAGATGTGGAAAATGCCACTCAAGTGAGGGGACCTGCCTCAAGTTCTGCAGACAGAAAGGAGGTGCCACAAGGAGATGCCTCCTTGGTCCACGCCCCCCCTCCCTGCATCTCTTTAGGTAGACAAAGTAATACACAGATACAATAAAATACCCATTTAATTAAATGTTTATTCAATGAAAGTATGTATAAAAACTTACAAATCTGAGAACGCAACTATACATGAAACAGGATGACGGGATATTCAGTTTTAAACATATACGTACAGCACAGCTATGAACTGTTCTTCCCTTTTCCCTTCGGTCCTTATTTCTGGCTCCTTTTCTGTCCTGTCAGACCCATTCTGTTATTGGCCCAAGGAAAGAGTAACGGACACATTTTACTGCTTTCAGGCCAGTGGAGGAAATTTCAGGTATTCAAAGAACAGGGAAAAAAAAAATGTGGAGATGAAACAACAAAATCAAGTTTTTTTTTTCCCCCAAACAGCAATTAGGTTTTTTTGTCCTGATTTTTTCTTTGCCATTTTTGATGCTTCGAAGAATGTTGCCAGTAAAGTATTAGCATTAACGTTTAAAGTCATTAAAGTTACTACATGCTTTGCCCACAGCCTTGCCTCTGAGATGCACTTTCCTGCATACGGACACGGATTTAAAGCAGCTGGTCGGTGCCAAAACAAATTTACCACCCGCAGCTGCTGGAATGGCATGTCGATTTCTATTCAGAAAGACAATCTACAGAATAATAGTACTCGCAAGTCTGATTTTTAAAACAACCAACAGATTTATCAGAAACGAAAACAGAGGATTTTGTTCTCGTTCAACTTTGAAAGAAGCCAGCAATTGGATAAGGCATGTGCGTTAATACACCTGTTTATCACAAATATCCACACATTTTCTCTTACAAACACACAAACTCACAGCTTTGTCATGTTTTATCCAAAAATTAAGATTGCCATCACATTATTACTTTTTCTCTTTTGTGTTTTGTTCAAGTAGATTTCTTAACGAATGATTTTTCTTGACTGGACATAATCTCAAAGGACGCATTCTGAAATAAGACACCTGGAGGATACATACTAAGAACATTTACTTGGGTTTAAAGTTTCCCCACACCTTCTAGATTTTTGCATAGTACAGAGCCCAGCAGAATCTCTAAGAAGCATGCTGTATTTTCTGCCATTTTCCGAGAAGGAAGACTTATTACCCAGGGAAAGTCATAATTTTAGCTTACCAAATTGTATTCTAGTTGTTTTGTTTTGTTGTATACCCTTCATTAGTTGCAAGTCTGCCTTTAAATAATCTAAAATGTCTCAAAATCTATTTTGAGTTTATAAGTACTACTGCCCATTATCTTTCCAATATCCCCTGACTCGAAGTAAATATGTTCCAGGTTTATAATGCACAAAGCCTCTGCGGAGGAAGGGCTGGGGACAGGGAGGCGGTGGGGAGGGCGGAAGGACCGGGGACCTGTTGGTATCATGCCACGGAGAACTACGGTTCTGAATCGGGAAGTGGGGTGGGGTGGGGCGGGGTGGGTGGTGGGAGAGGAGACCGTCTCTGTAAAAATGACAGTTTTTTTTTAAAAAACAGGTAAGTCACATTCAGTCTAACAACACTGTTTCCTGCTCCTTTTTGATGGAGGCTAACACTGGGTGGTCGGGTTCCGTGACTTCCGAGTCCGCGCTGCCCAGGAGAATGGACCGTCCCTCGTCCAGGGCGAAAACGTCCGAGTTTTGGTTCTGGCACGAGTGTTTCACCACCTCATTGGGAGTCGAGAAGGTTTTGTCGCACAGGTTGCACTTGTAGGGTTTGTTGGTCTGCACCAGCATGTTGTCCATCTGACTGCCCTCCTCGAACGTGCAGAGCTCCAGAGTCTGCTTGTCCACCATGGTGTAGGTGTCCATGCTCTGGTTGAGGCACACGTGCCGCGCCGCCTGGTTGGCCCTGCAGAAGCTCTTGTCGCAGGTGCTGCACTTGAAGGGCTTGCCGGTGTGTATGTACATGTGCTCCCTCCAGTGGCTCTTCTGGATGAACTTGCGGCCGCAGATGGTGCACTCGTACTTGCGCCGCTTCACCTCGCGCTCCTGGTCCGCCTGCTCCAGGTTGTCGATGTCCGCGATGTCCGAGGGCGGCGGCGTCTCCGAGTGCGGCTGCCCGTCGATGATGGGCGAGTCGGAGATGTGCTGCAGCTCGCTGTCGCTGATCATCCCGGCCTCGGGCACCTCCATGGCGTCCTTCCCCAGGTCGGGGGCGTTGCTGCAGAGAGACAGGGGCCCCCGGCTGTCGCCGGGCTGGCCGGACGTGAACGGGACGCCCGTGTGGATCTGGAGGTGCTCCCGCAGGCTGCTGCGCAGCGTGAAGCGCCGGCCGCACAGGTGGCAGGCGTAGTACTTGGGGAAGCTCCCGTTCCTCTTCATGATGCTCGGCTTCACGTGGGCGATGGTGAGGGCCGCCGGCTGTTCGTCCGAGGACGAGGCCTCCAGGTTGGTCTCCTCCCCGGGAGGCGGGGGAGGCACGGGCGTGGAAACGAGTTCCGGGGACAGCGAGGTCTGCAGCGGGTCCGAGGGAGTCAGGTGCGTCCGAGTCACCGGGGCCAGGTTGGGAGGCAGCTGGGACAGCTGGGAGGCCTCCGGCGCCTGCTCCTGGCTCACCCGGGACGGCTGCGGCCGCGCTTCCCGCCCCAGCTTCTCGGGGGCAGAGGCAATCTTGGTGGCTTGTCGCAACTGGTGGTCTGCGATCTGAATGCCGTACAGGGAAGAAGCGAGCGGGAAAACTTGGTCGGGGTGAGAAAAGGCACCCTGGCTGGCCAGGCTGGCTTCCTGGATCAGCGGGTAGGCGTGCAGAAACTTGATCCCCTGTTCCAATCGAACGGGATCGATGAGCTGGGGTGCCATCTTGCCGGTGTACATCAGATGTAAGAGATAGCTGAAGATATCCGGCTGGATGTCGGTTGGTTTCAAACGGACACACTCACTGCAAGAGACAGGGGGACAGTCTGTAAGTAAATGTCAGCCCAGGTCTCCAGGGAGAACATGATCTCTGGAGAAAAAAGGGGGCAACTTTTAAAGGCAAATGAAACCGGAGCATTTCCCCTTTCTTACAGTTAGTGTTTCATGAAAAGGAATACTCAGGGGAGAGAACTGGAATCCATGTAATTTCATGGTGTTAAGAACAGACAGAGACAATAAATGTATTTGCAAGGATGAGAAGGAAAAAGTTCATGTTAAGCAAATATGGTATCTTAACTCCTAGATTCTAGAAGCAGTTTTTTTCTCCTCAGAGTCTACATGAACTTCTATCACATTGTATTTTTAGACAGAACTCTGAGAGTTCTATATAAAAAAACTTTTGTGTTTTGTGCGGAGGATCTATTGCTTCTCCGTCTGAAAGTGGCCTGTGACCCAGACATGGTTAAGAGCCGCTGACCTGGCAGAGCTTTGGCTAAGAGTCTATGATTTTCTATTGATCCAATGCCATCCAGAGCTCAGCAGGAGATCTTTTAAGGCAAATCAAACAATCTACCTGGTGAGAAAGTTTCTTCATTTGTAAAACGACATGGGGGAGCTGGGCTAGTATGAACAAGCGCTAGGAGCCACACGACAAAAGTAAGAGAAAAATAAAACCTAATTCTGTTGGTGCTCTGAACTCTCTGATCTGCCCACCCCCCCAGGAAGGTATGGGGGAACATTCTAGCTCTAATGGGGTCAGATCACCTACCCAGTATTGCTAGACTGCAGTAAAAAGCGGTTTCAGGACAACTCCCTTACTTACCAAACGTAAATACCACCCCCACCAGAACTACTGCCGGCCTTTACAGGCATTATCTCATTAAACTCCATTCATTCTCATTTTCCAGCTAAGGGACGGAGGCTCAAAGAGATTCATGCCTTGCTCAGTATCAGAGTTCGAAGAGGGATTTAAATCTCGGTCTCAATCCAAACCCATGACACCAAAATTGTTTAGAGCATGAAAACAATCCTGTGTGGTGGTTCAGGCAGATGTGACTGTTCCTATCTGACAGATCTGGAAACTGAGAGCCCAAAAAGTTAAGTGATTTATCTGAGGCCCCTAAAGCAGCTAGTGTTTGCCTCATTCCAGAAATATCATTCTGATCAAGAGCTTTAATCAAGCAGTCCCAAAGAACTCTTCCTAAACCATCACTAATGACAGCAATTCTGATGCATTAAAAGCAATGACTGTATCTATAAAGCATGAGGTGTGTGCTGTATGTCCACTGAGTGAATACATTCTACAGACAATGAATGCATTTTCAATTTCAAGGACAGCTTCCTTGAATGCCTTTAGAATGTATAATCATTTTTAAAAATGGATGAGTTATTTAATCAGGTTCTTACAATGTATAATCATTTTTGATTACACCACTTCTTACTCTTGTAACTCTTTTTGTCTCCTTTAGCTGTTTATCTTATCGATATATGTTTTTCAACATGCTAAAAAAAAGTCACAGTATACCTGCTCTTCCAAATTTAACATTTTATTCTATTTTTTAAAAGAGTGACTTTCATAGCAATTTGTGACAGACCAGATTTGAGGAATTCCTGTCTTGCTATCAATGCGTGTATATTTCGAGATGACTGCATACAAGTAATCATGTGAAAAGTGTCTGCCTACAAAGTATGGAAGTCAAAGAATAAAGATTATGCATAGAAACTAGCAGCACTTTGATGGCAGAAAGAAGAGAGTTTCTGTGACTCTTTTTTTTTAAAAGGTCACTCATTTTCCTTTGGAGTCTTTTTATAGGTAGTCTTCCTTTCGAGCACAGGGTGAGTGCCGACAATACTGTGTGTACACTAGAATACATTTCAGGGGCTCTAGGGAAGTTCAATATTCAAAACAAAGCTTCAGGGATCATGTGTGGGGAAGAGTACTTTAATCAGGTAAACAGTCATCTCCAAAACAGAGAACTGGGAAACCACAGGCCTTCGGAGATGCGACGACGTACACCCAGGAGTTCACAGGGCACCTTTGTTTTGCTGGAAGGGTATTTTCCTCCAGGCAAAAGAGAAAGCAGGCTCCCCTCTGCCTCCCAGAAAGAGAAGAGAAGGGTCCAAGTCCCAAGGAGGGCTATGTTTTCTAGCATCTGTGATCGGTAAGTACCAAGTGGGGCCCCTTTCCATCAAAGTTTTGTTGTCAGTTTTATGATTTTCCCTTATTTGTTACTATATATGGTTGTCCTCTGTCTACTGTCCGTGATGGGTGGTTACTGAGCAGAGCTCAGGTTTTAAAGAACTGTGTGCAATCTCTGAAGGCAAAGAATAAACTGGACTGGGAGACCCTGCCAGGCTGGAGGGAGAAGGAATCCGAAGGGACCCACGGGGGGCTGGAGAGAAACCACTGGGGAGAGGGAGGCCTCTGGGATTCAACACCAGTGCCTAGGGCCCCGGGAGGTTCCCAGAAACCAGTTATCTTGATTTCTCAATTTTATTATTATTATTTTTAAAGCAGAAGAACACATGCACACATAAACACATAGAAACACTTAAAAAAAAAAAGTTATTTAAAAAAGTTCCTTAGGTCACATTCCAGCAATTTCCATCCTTGACTGCTTCCCCTCCCAGCTAGACCTCTCTGCTTGCTATGGGCCAGACTTTGGTCATTTCCAAGTCCTTCTGGAAGGACACAGCTCCCCACAAGATAATTACACCTACATGGTTTGGTCTGTAGGTGTCTGCTTGAGACAGTTTTATAGGAAAAATAAGGTTTTGGCACAGCCACAAGCCCTTTGTGCAAACTTTCACAGGAATTTGCATTTTTAATCTTTCCTTCACTGGAATCTCAAAGGAAAAAAGGGGCTTAAAGAACCTTAGAAATAATTAATTTTACATAATGTTCTACCTCGCTCAGGAGGTTGTGCTTAGCCAGACCTGCCTCTCTGCAGTCTGGGGAACTCTTGTGTTTGCAGTCCTGTGAGATTCACAACCCAGTCACTTCCAGGGCTGCACACGAGACAGAGACATCTAGTGGTACTACAGACAACAGAACACTCTTAAACCAAGTGTGAAAAACCTGTATCCTCAGTCCACCTTCTGGGTAATCAGGTGGCAGCTCACAGCACCTGACAAAGAAGGCCCTGGTTTGAAAGGCTGCCTCTGGCCTTTGCCCCCGTTTGCTTCGTCTCAAAGAGAAAAGAACATTGGGGACTCCGATCTACACAGATACCACAATTCCTTTTTTTACAAAGGCATTTAAACTGCTCTCCACTTAAGTTTCTTGAATCTATTTAAAACTCATTAAACTGGGGCGCCTGGGTGGCTCAGTGGGTTAAGCCTCTGCCTTTGGCTCAGGTCATGATCTCAGGATCCTGGGATCAAGCCCTGAGCCCCATCATCGGGCTCTCTGCTCAGCAGGGAGCCTGCTTCCCTCCTCTCTCTGCCTGCCTCTCTGCCTACTTGTGATCTCTGTCAAATAAATAAATAGAAAATCTTAAAACTCATTAAACTGTATTTATTTTATTTATTTACTCCTCAAAATGAAAATCTTTCCCCCTCAAGACAAGTTAACTCATTGTTTTGAAACTTCTAAGCAAGTCTCTGACAATGAGGTAAAAGGGAACGTCCTTAGTGTTGCAGGACAAAGCAACCTCTGCTCGCCACTATCCCTCTTCTTCACCCATTCTGCTCCTCCAGACACTTAACTAGTGGCCATTATGTACAAATACCCAAACTATACCCTGGGCATCCACAAAGCTTGGTCAAACCTGGTCTCTGCCCTCAGGAAACTTACAGATGAAGGGGGTGGGGGGAGAGAAGTCCACCGAGAACAATACAAGGAAAATGTGCTGATCTTGTAAAGGGGCAGAAAGTGCTGTGAAATGTGAGAGAGGAAGAGCCGGCTTTGGATCACTGTGGGGAGGGGTCACAGAAGAGGTGAGGGGGAGCTGGGCTCGGGGACTGGGCATGATGGCCAAGCAGGCTGCAGCCTTTGAGCCTTGAAAGAGAAGCAGGAATCCATGTGCTGTTTTGATGTGCGACAGACGGCCTCGAGGTTTCTGATCCAAGCAGTACATTCTGGACTAGGTTTCTGATCAAAGGCGTCCTACAATCACAGCGCTTGCTCAGTGTTCAGGAATATTCATCTGACAGGAATGATTAGGAAATGGGAGGAGGTAAGAAGGGGAAGGAAAGGGCTAATGCAAAAGGGACTGTGAGGGAAACGTGATTGGGGGTGGGACCAAGAAAATGGGGTTTTAGAGCGATTTTAAGTGCGGGTTACTTGGAGATAAATAGGGAAGGACCTGGGAAGGCCTAACTCAGCTTCAGACACGCTGATACTCCATTCTACCCCTCGAGCAGCCAGCCTCGCAGCCTCGGGAAGCAGAGTTCTGGACGCAGAGAAAGGTTAAGGCCAGAGTTATAAACTTGTGGCTTCCAATAGAGGCCAAATCCAGAAGAAACAAGCTCCCCAAGAGAGCACACAGGGAAAGAAGCATGGAGAGCTCCAGACTAAAACTCAGCACGACTCTCAGAAGGCTCCTGCCCAGAGGGCAGGAAAATAGGGAACGTTCTGCATTATCAAAGTGCAGCTGATGCACTGCGGCCAAGGACAAGGACGCCAGAGGCTGAGAAGAGCCGCGGTTTTGATGAAGAGGTGACCTTAGAGAAATGATTTCAGTAGAGATGGAGCAGAGACCACAGTGTCCCCAGAGAGGAGGGGTCAAGCGGGTAGGGGGGAGCACCAGCAAGGCTGTGGCTCGCCCTCTGAACACCTTCACCATGAGATAAAGGAGAAGGTGCCCCGCAGCACAGTCAAGGTACCCGGGATGTTGATCTTGCAGCGGCTCGGATGCGGGGGCAGTGCAGTGAAAAGGATAGAGCAGAGAGTAAGAGGTCAGATCTGTAGCCTGAGAGTTGGAGGAAGACCACTTTTCCTTAGAGGGTCCTTTTCTCCAAGATGGGAGAGATGGGAAGGAAAGATCAAAGATGCTGAGATTGGGATGTGCTAAGAGAGAAAAGAAGGGAACTGGGGAACTCATGCCCTCAAGCTTCTCATTAGACTGGCAGATAAGGATAAAAATAGGGAAAGGAGTGGGCACAGCCTGGGGGCCGGGGGCTGGAGGAGTGGGAGCGAGGGAATCAGGCTGCCACTGCCCATCCCGAGGGTCGGGGTCAGCTAGCCAGGGTACTGGGCGTGGAGGGGCTGCTGGAGGCTCGAAGGTCCATGGAAGTGTGAGTAACCAAGATGGGCAAGGGGGCAAGTGAGGACACGAGGGAAAACTGGGTGCCCAGGGGCCTAGGATTCCAGGGAGAGGAGGTGAGCCCCATGGTCTGGATGGGCTAAGAGCAGGTGCAGAGGGGAAGAGGGCCATGAAGTTCAGCGTCTACAGTCATTAGATTATTATCAACCACGTTAGTTACCTGGTCTGATGGACAAACAACATCTTAAAGTAATTGGAGAATGAAGCAAGAACTGATTTGTGTGCCTTGAAGTACACATCGCCGATGGCAACCGTGCAGTCACACAGGAAACCAAACTCTCGCTGAGCGTTTAACTGTTGCAGAAGAATAAGTCCATGGTTGGCCAAATCCATTTTTTTAAAAATCTGCAAAGCAAACAATTTTTTTTTTTAAGAAAGGTGATTCACAAGTAAGTATGTGTCCGTTATAGTCACCAATAGTAATGACCACAGCTAAAAAGTCATGCTAACAACGTGACACCAGCTCGCTCATTTCACCTCCATGGCCGCCCTGGGAGTCAGCCGCTCTGTCTTCACTCCCATTTCACAGATGATGGCATTTACAGCGAGGTGGGAGATTACGTGGTCTGCCCAAGTTTACACAGACGTGAGTGGGGGAGCCGAGCCGGGAAATGAACTCGGCTGTCTGCCCTCCAGACAGCAAATGTCCCCAGATCAGTTAGTCTTTTAGTTTACGACTCCAAATGCAAATTCTAAATGACCTGTCTACTAGAACTTGTCAAATCTTCCATAGAGATCAGTAAATTAAGGTGCTGGGCGGGGCGCGGGGGGGGTGGGCGGGGACACAGCAGAGTAGGGTGAAGATCTCACCAAACCGGAGCCATTTTCCAGCTCCTGCCCTGGGGACAGGACTGCCCCTGGCGGGGATAAAATAACACGCCCGTTATTGCCCTGGACACCTGTGCTCATGGAGGGAGGAAGTGGGATGGCATCCTCTTCCCTTTTTTGTGGATGAGGTATTGGGCTTTGAGAGGTGTAAATAAGTTTGCCCAGGCCATCCAGCTAGAAGGCAGGGGAGCCAAAATTTAAATCCCATTGTTCTGACTCCAAATTCTAAGGTCTTCATTGTCCCACTTCACCCTAGCAAAGCACTGGGTCTGAATCAGCTGTAGAGGAGCAGAACTGCCTCTAAAGGAGGTAGCTCGGCACATCAGTAGGCTGCTCCTTTCCCGCCAAGGGCCTTTCTAACAGCCCACTACACACAGATCAGCGTTATACTTAACAGTAGACTCTGTTACCAAGAGCGAATGCCTTCTAAGATTGCGAACAAGGCAAGGATGCCCACTCTCATTACCGAACATAGTGCTGGAAGTTTGAGTTTGTGCAATAAAGCAAGAAAGGAAATAAAAGGCATACAGAGAGGAAAGAGAGAACCAAAGCTGTCCCTCTTGCCAGATGACATGGTTGTTACCTAGAAAATCCCAAGGAATCTACAAAAAAAACCCACAACAACTCCTGGAACGAACAAGCGAGTCTGGCAGCACCACAGGGAGGCTACAAGATAAACATGTGAAAGTTAACTGTAATTCTGTACACTAAGTTTGAACCTGTGGACACTGAAATTGGAAATATAACACCATTACAGTCACTTAAAATGTTGAGATACATAGGTTGTCGATCTAACCAAGCACGTATAGGACTTGCATGTTGAAGAGTCTGAAACTCTGAAGAAAGAAATCAAAGAATATTTAAAGAAATGGAAAGATATACTGTATTTATGGTTAGGAAAATCCAACATAGCACAAACAAATTTTTCCCAAGTCAGCATATAGGTTTGGCAAAATTCTTACCAAAATTCTCGCAAGGGTTTTTTTTTTTTTTGTAGACATAGATAAGAATATTCTGAAATGTATCATGGAAAGCCAAAGGAACCAGAAGAGCTAAAATAATTTTTTTGAAGATTTTATTTATTTGACAGAGAGAGAGAGAGATCACAAGCAGGCAGAGAGGCAGGCAGAGAGAGAGAGGGAAGCAGGCTCCCTGCTGAGCAGAGAGCCCGATGTGGGGCTCCATCCCAGGACCCTGCGATCATGACCTGAGCCGAAGGCAGAGGCTTCACCCACTGAGCCACCCAGGCGCCCCACTAAAATAATTTCTAAAAAGGATATTAAAGTGGGACGAATCAGTCTGATTTCAAGATGCATCGAACAGGTACAGCATTCAAGACAGCAAGGTCCTGTGGAAGGGATAAACATACAGACTAGGAAACAGACTGAGAACCCAGCAGCAGAGCCAAGTAAATATGCACAACTGATGTGCACGAAGGCCCCAAAGCATTTCAATTCCTCCAGTTCAGTGGAGGAAGAACAGTCTTTTCAACAAATGGTGCTAGATCAGCTGGACTCCCATTAGGGGAAAAAAAAAGAAAGAAAGAAAAACACGTCATCAAAGTTTCATACCTTACATAAAAATTAACTCAAAATGAATCACAGACTCAGAAGTAAACACCAAACTATAACTTTTGTGAAAAAATGGGAGAAAAGCTTAGGGATTTAGGGTTAGATGCAGAACTTCTATACTGAACATGAAAAGTACAATCCGTAAAAGGGGAAACTGATTACGCCGGATTTCATCAAAATTAAGAATTTTTGTTCGTGAAAGACGACGAAGGAAAGAGAAGAAGGGGGATGAAAAGACAAGCTAAAGACCAGGAGAAAATACCGGAAAACCTCTGCAAATCTTTGACAGAAGACAGGTATATAGAATACATAAAGAATTCTCAAACTTCAACAGGGAAGAAAAATATAACTAGACAACAGGCAATGGACTGGAAGATACATTTCACCACAGAGGCTGTGCAGATGGTGAATAAAGACTTGAAAAAAGCTTCAGCCTCGTTGGTGACTGGGGAAAAGAAATTAAGACCATGGTGAGGTTTCATTATATATCTACCAAAATGGCCAAAGTAGAAAATAACGGCAACACCAGACGCTGGCCACGACCAAGCTGGACCCCGCTCGAACTCGGCCGGGGAGAAGGTGAAGTGTGCAGCCACTCTGGAAAAGCAGTTTCTTAAAAACTCAGTATGCAAGTACCGCCCCACCCAGCAACAGGGCTCGTGGACACATCTGAGAGAATGGAAACCTACGTTCGCACTGAAACCTATGCGTGGACGTCCACAGCAGCTTTACTCCTAACAGCCAAACACCAGAAACAGCCCAGATGTCCTTCGGTGGGTGAACAGTGAAGCACGTGGTATGCCCACGCTCCAGGAAACCACACAGCCAGTTAAGGACACATGAACTACCGCTACGTGTACAGAGCAAGGTGGGTGCTTCTGCGGAGTGAAAAAAGCCAATCCCCAAAGGTCACACGCTCTATGATTCTACGGCTGTAACATTCTCGAAAACCAGAGGAGCAGAGAACAGATTAGTGACGGGAGGCGAGGGGAGCAGGAGGGAAATGGGTTCGGCTACAGAAGGGCAACACGAGGGATCCTTGGGACAGGAATGTTCTGCAGCTCGACTGTATCAGCGTCAGCACCCTGGTTGTGATGTGGACTACAGTTCAGCGAGAAGTTTCCATCAGAGGAAACTCGGCAAAGGGCTTATGCGATCTCTCTCACTTCTTGCAATTACATGTGTGTCTCTAGTTATCTCAAAATAAAAAGGAAAAGGAAAAAAAGACAATCCCACCACACATTAACTAATTAGCCAGATTTAAAAAGAAAGGGGTAATAACGATGACACTTAAGTGCAGAACTGGGAAAGCTACTGTGATAGGATGCGTTATTAGTTAAGCTTTAGAAATAAAACAAACCAGACCCGTGGCAATTCTTACTCAGCTGGTACTGAACTCCCCACTCTCCTTCCTGTGCTAGGCATGATCTGGCAGATTCAGAATTAACAAGTGTGACCTAAAAGAAAAGAAGGAAATGGAATAATACTTTGAGAGACCAATCAGGTCACAGAGCAAGGATCAAGGATGTCCAGTGTCACGTTTTCTATCAAGAGCTGTCTCCAAGTAGGAAGGGCAGGCGGGTCACCCAAGCTAGCAGCAGTCTGGGTACAGAGACCCAGACCGCAGGCTCATTTATATGTCCACATCCCTGGGATGGATCAGGACCCTCGTTCCCACAGGATTTTCGGTGTAGATAGGAGAAGTGAGAGCACCCAGAGGAGGAAGGGGAGACAGAAACAAGGTGCGAGGTTCAGGATGAAAACACGAGTTGGTGCCTGTGTGCAGGGTAATGGGGATTACACAGAAACATCACTCTAACCTGACCACCCCCATGATATACCATTAGAAGCCTGTTGGCTGGAAAATGCCAGCATACTTCCTTTTTCCATCTTACCAACCAGCCTCTTTCTACAAAGAAGCGTAACACCCCCTGAGAACACCCTGCCCTGAGCTGCTTTTCCTGCGCTTTGTCTCTGAGCCCGTTCCCCTTATGCCTAGGCGGCTCTGGCTATCCCTTCACAGATAGCAGCTTTGAGTATGAGAACACATGACTGTTTATTCCCTGATGATAATGACAAGAGTGGCTCTTACTGATGGAGTGTTTACCACTGACCATTCGTTTCCATACGGCCTTTATTTAATTGCGCATGAACTTATCTATGGTATTGCTATGCAGATTTTATAAAGGGGGAAACAGGCTGAGAGGTCAGCTGGTCTGTCCCTGAGGATAGACTCGGTAGGCGTTAGAAGTGAGATTTAAGCAGGGTTGTCTGGTTTGCTGGTACGCGCTATGCATGAGTGTGTTTAAAGTCAATCGGAAACATTATTTGAGCATACGTACTTGTGATAAGACATTTTGACTATCACAGACGCACAGTTGGGAGCTGTCCAGCTGTCCAGTCATCCTCCCCACCCCCCCAGTTTCTCCACACTCTGCCAGCACGGGGGTGGGGGGTGGGGGGTGGTGGTACCCCTTCTTAAAGAATCATTGCCAAATCCATTCTCATTTTCTTACCTTCTGTGGATTTAGTGATGAGAGGAAGTATATTTTTATGTTTATTGATCATTTATATTTCCTCTTGTATCTCTTCATGAGCTCTGCTCGGTTTTCTATCAGGTTGTCTTTTTCTTATCGATCTGTAAAACCCTTGGTATATAATAAAAATGAGCCCTTTAAACATGTAAGTCGCTAACATTTCTCGTACTTTCTTTTGGTTTTGTTTTACAGAGATTTGTGACATACAGTTTTATGTTGTAATGTCATCAAACTTATCAATATTTTATAGGATTTTGAAGTTTTTGTTCTTACAGTGAAAATCTCGATATAGCAAGAGGTAGAGCTCCTTCTCATTCCACAAACAGCCCAAGGTGAGTATTTTTTTTCAGCCCGTAAGAATGGAAAAAATCGAAAAAGAATGAAAAAACAAACAAACAAACCGTGAAAT